TATATAAAACAAGGTTTTGATCTTTCCACACCATATTAGTCATTTTTTCCCCCCAAAGATTGGCCTTTCGTCCTAGAACTCCACATTATATTACAGTCTCTACTCAAACGGATACATCTCCGTGATTTATGTTTGGAGACGTTTTAGTTTCAATGATTTGCTTTGGATCTTTGTTTATTGTTGTCTGATTATTGATGCCAAGAACCAATTAGGTAAAATGAAAAATAATAATTAAAGAGTGATTAATCCTTTTTACCTTTTTCTTTCATTTTGCTTTTCTCAAAAAAAGAAAGGAAAAAAAAGGAAAAAATTATGGATTTATTCTCGTATTTTATTTAACATAATTTTTTTATGCCAATGTGGATCAATTTAAATGTGCTTTGAATAGTTTAAGAAGTAGAGTGTTGAAATATGTGACTTAATAAATGCAATCATCTTACATTAAGAATGAAGAGTGAATTTGACTCAAATTTTAAGTCAAACCCAGTCTCTATTGGAGCTCACTTTTAAGCATTAAGAGTATATTCAAGAAACTTTTTATTTATAAAAAGTATCTTATGTATTATAGAGAGTATCTATATATTATTAAATTTTGAGAATCAAAATTTTTATACACTTCAACAAGCTCTCTATTTTGACTTTTAATTTTTTCTTTTCTCAAGAAACATTAATTGATATCTCTTCGTATTTTATTCAATATAATCTTTCATATACCAATCGACCAACCTATTTAAATGTGGTTTAAATAGGGTAAGAAGTACATTATTAAATGTGATTTATTAAATGTAATTATTGTACATTAAGAATAGATAATGAATTTGGCAAACATACTCTCTATTTTAAAAAGTTAAGATACAGAATCAATTGAAACTTATTTTTAAGCATTAATTTTATAAAATAGATAGTATTTTGTATTTAGAGAATCTCTTTATTTCAGAAATGATTTTCTAAGCACCGGTGACATGACACATTATTTAATTAGTGAATCATTAAATACATGAGACTTACCATTAACTTATTTACCAATTAAATGATGTGTCATGTCACCGGTGTTTAAGAGATCATTTCCTCTCTTTATTTTGCTTTCTCAAGAAACATTTATTGATTTCTCCTCATATTTTAAGTTAACATAGATGTCAATTGCCAATCAATTATTAAATATCAGTGGCTGTATTGTGTAAAACAGATGACCCTGAAATGTTATAACATATAAAAGAGTTTTGAGTATCCCAAATAGTTGTGGGACATCTCTATAATTATAGGCAATGATGCAAGAAAGTGATGTGGTCATCCTCTAGGAAAATTGCTTGCACCAAACAATGTGATATCAGACCAAAATTATGTTGATTCATTCTTTTGCTTTTTATTTTTAAATTTTGCTACATTCGTTAAAATGGTATGAATAGAAGTTAAAATTTTGTTGTCATGCCCCCATCAACACTTTCTCGCTTGAACTTGTCGCAAGGGGTTTGCCTAGTGCGGTTTACTTGGTTGGCGTGGTTTGCAGGTAATTGCGTCAGCCTAAGGGTTTACCCAGTGCGCACTCGAAAGGTAGCGGTTGCGTGTTCCCTTATCATATAATAAAATAAAATAAAAATTAAAAATTATGCTGTCATGCACATCCAATTCTTTACTTATAGGATTCCTCTCCATTTGGCTGTTCTTGTACTTTTTTCAAAAAACTTAACCCAAAATGAAGTAGGACAAATCATTTTATCACCGCTAACATTAGCTTTTTCACCAACAAGAACCAAAACAATAATACACGTTCTTTTTAGCCTTCATGGCATGACGTAGTGGTAAAGCAAGATGGTTCATTACGGATTATCAAATGTTCGAATCCTTGCGACAGCTGAAAGGTAACATTTATGTTGAAAATCAGATGTCTTATAAAGACAAAAGTGATGGTGCAATTTATCACCACTTCGGTGTTCTGAATGCATGTTGTAAAGGGAGGTCCATAGGAAGGAGAGTCGCTCCCAAAATGCCCCGCCTACAACATCCGATTTACCTGGGTGGCGAAACAGGGAGAAAGCCACCTCTCTTCAAGATGAGTTGGGCGAAACTTGGATACTTGATTCATAAAAAAAAAAAATAATAATAATAATAATACACGCTTTTCATGGGCTATCTGTTGAATGTTCAAATTGGGGGCAGAAATTTGGTAGTTTTGATCTTGTTTCATAATTATATGCTGTGATTGATTTCCTTGTTTCCTAGAATGTTTTTAATTTTTGTGGGTGGCGGTGGGGTGGGCAGTATTAGTGACTACGTGCAACATCATTCATTATAGAATTATGCTAAGTGTACATGTCACGGTTTACATTTTTGTGTGTATTCCATTGTATTTCAAAAATTGTAGGTTGGGAAAGTGTGTTTTTATTAAAAACTGTCCAATCATATATCATTACATGGCACAATGTCAACAAGGATGTATATGTAGCACGATTATTCATTATAATTGTATAACGTTGTAATAATGATGATGAAAAAGTGATTAGCTGTTTGAGTTCCTGTTGATTGTGCATTTGTCTTTGCGGCCACCAACATATGGAAAAGAAGCTACACAGGGCATGGATATGATTACCTGATGGAAGGATTGGATATGTCCTGTAAATACAATAATTTTAGGACTAACATTTGCTTGCACTTTGATATACTTTTAATCTGTGTAATAAACTTAAATCACTGAACGTAAGCTTGAATAAATTGAAGGCTGAAACTTGTGAAACGTAAATCTGAAATTTCCACACATTAAACACAGGACTTTGGTTGTGTTTTGGAGGTTATTGGCTCCTTGAAAACCAGAATTTGGTAGAGTCGGATAAGATTTCCTCGAATTAATTCAATAGCAAATTTAGTCTGTTTTGGCATTGAGACTCTGCCTGATTATGTCGTACAATAAAACAAGTGGATGAATTAGTTATGCCGAGGTTTGAGTTCAGCCTAGGTGGTCGAAAGCAGCTTTCATTAACTGAGAACAGCTTTTAAATGGAAGGCAAGGCTTTCTCCTGAAAGGCAGGATATTTCCTGGAAGGCAGGAATTCCTTGAAAGGCAAGAAGCATATATGGGTTTGATTCGCTCGGCACTTTGGTAGTTCAGTTAGGGGACTCTTGGACCCTGGTCAGTTTGGGGCATAATCCGCGGTTTACCTGGTCTGCGTGAAGAGGGGCTGGATCGTAGACCCCAGGATTAGTAGCTGTAAAGTGGACACCTGGATATCAAAAAAAAAAAAAAATTATGAGAGACTATTGCCATTTTCTTCCTGATTCTTGGGATTGACCCATTTTGCTACTGGGATACAAGAGAATTTGATAAGAATAAGGTGACAATTCTCTTTACCGATGAACGTTCTTAATTAATCTAACCAGGGCAACAATGTCACTTCATGAAATGATGAAGTTGACAGAGTTTGTTGCCGGGGTATGAATGAGGGGTTACATTAAGCCCATATTTGGTATGCATTAAAATTCAGATTTTAAATTAACAATTTTTTAATCATCATTCTATCAATTTTTATCAAAATTTAATAAAAATTTGATTTTATTTCCTGCCAAACTTGGCCTAAAGTTTTACATTAAGCTAAAGTTGCATGATTTAGCTTAGTGCTCCCTTTTTTATTTGCACTAATGGTATCCAATTTTTGCTCGTTGTCGTGCTTTGTTTTCATTTTTTTTCCTGTTCCATTTTAATCAACGACTTTTATTCATTAATTTTCTCAATGATGATTCTTATCTAAAATATCCGTTAAGTGGGCATGGTATGAAATGGTTAAAAGGAACGTACAAAAAGCAGACACTAATAAAAATTTGAACACAAACTGTAATCAAAGACAATATTGGACTCGTGATGAAAGGTTGATGATAAAAATGTGACGAAGAAAAAGGTGGGGGTCATAAGAGAAATAATGACCAAAGGTTGTGGAACTTCAATGCTATTAAAATATATTGCAATAAAAAAACATTGTATCAATAAAATTACCGTTATGAATTCTGACGATTAAACTCAACTACCGTTCCAATTGGCTAATTTTGATTGAGGGGCTGTTTGGGCCCGATTTTTTCACCCAAAAAATTGATTTTTTGACCATTATTTTATTATTTCAGTCGTTATATTCGACTTCTTCTCTCACAGGTGGATCTCACTTTTCTCCTAACGGTAAAAAAATCAATTCTCAAAATCACTCCCAAACAGGCTCTGAATTTATCAATGCATGGCAATTATGAATATAGAATGATCATCTGGAAAATCACTTTTACTTAACAGTAAAGTAAGTGAAAAAATAATTTTGATAATCATTTTAGTATAAAAATGGTACTCTGTTTCCGCTTCTTCTATCATCACATAAATGTAGAATTTGACCTTATAGATAAAACTTCAAATGATGTATGGAGTTTATCATTCATTCCAAAACCGCAAATTGTCAATGGAACAACATTCCAAATATTCCACACTTCTCAAAAAACAATACAACAAAAACCACAGACAAAATATACAGGACAACAATGGAGCAAACTACCCACAATTTAAACCTTAATATCCACGATACATGCCTGATGCTCTACTCGATAGGGGAACTAAATCCATTTTTAGAATCCCGTCTCTATAACGAAAGTCCTGAGTTCAAATTTCACTAATAAAGAATAGAAATCAATGTAGGAAAGTTGATCTACTGAAAGCTTGTTAACTTACATAATTAACAACACACTGGACACTGAATCAATCCATTCTCATTGCATTCACTGCACTTGACAGTCTTCTTCCTTCCCTCATCCAATACCTTACAGCTGCCATAGCACCTCGTGCACATCACGAACCGGAACCCGCCACATCTGCGACACCCGGCAGCTGCCCGGGGGATTCCGTCGAACAAAATTTCCAATTTACCCTCCTCATCCAGCTTTGCTATCTCATCAACCCCACTAATCAACCTTCCCTTCACAAACACTAATGGTACTTTGACATCTTTTGTACCAATTAGACCTCTTAGTTCTTCCTTGAAAACTGCGTGCATCGATATATCGCGCTCAAGCATTTGAACATCGTGCGATTCGATGATTGATCGAGCCTTGTTACAATCCTCAAAGGTCTTCCTAATGCCCCTCAATGTGGTGGTGTATATGATAACTGCATTTTCACCTCCTGGTGGGCATTTTTCGCTGAATGATTCAAGAATGGACTCTGAATCCTGGAATCTCTTCCATTTTCGAGTAATGTATGTCGATGAAACAATCTTCTTCACCATTTCTTCCTCTTTAGATCCCTCTTTTTCTAGAGATGCCACTGGTTCTGGATTAAACAGTGGGCCTAAACTCCTCCTTGATGAAACCCACAACCTTGGTGAAGGTTTCCTCGAATTCTCCTTCAAACTATTGCATTCTTTCAGCAATGTTTTAGGGCTATTTTCTGTTGATCCGATAACTCTTTCCTTATTCTCTTTTCCTCCAAGTTTCTTAAACTTCATCGGAGAACCCATTTGATTCAAGAACTTTAAGGGGCTTCTTCCATCAAGAAAAATTCTTGATTTTGGGCTTCTCTTGGATCGAACAGAACCTGGACCTTCTTCTTCAAGCCCTTCCATAAGCTCCCAAGTATTTATAATCTCCGAAGGTTCTTCACGAGGCGGTGATTTCTTCGCTTCAACCACAAACTTTTCGATGCTTTCCTGCAATTCTTGTTGCTGATTTTCTTCAAATAACTGATGAGTTTCTTTGTCAAGTTTGAGAGCACCATAGGTACTTGAAGTTAGAGAAACCACATGGTTTGAAAAATCTCTATTTTCATGTAGATTGTCTCGCTCGATTTTTTTTTGTTTTTTGTTGAAAATAGATATTAATATATGACTTATAGGACATTTACATATAGTTAAGCAATCATTCCCTTTTTCATTTATTTCGAGAAAAATGTTGATCATGTCGGTATAAATTAATTACAACGATCATAATGGAGTATACGTGTTAGAGTATTGTTAAATCTAAATTGTCGATGGTCGATCATCGACAGCCTACATGTCAATTGAGTGATTTGATATCTTAAATGGATCCATATCATTTTATTTAAGAGGTCCAATCACCTATGCATTTGTTAGGTGATTTAATTTGAATTACTTCTGGTCAAACATATCAATTGAATGTTTACATCTCAAATGGATATATATCCTTATATTTAAGAGGTTTAAACACTTATTGCCTTTGGTAGGTGCTTAGTTTTAATTAATTATAGTCAAACATACATTTTATAAGACTCACAATTACTATCTATTTATTATACATACATTTCATAGGATTCGTAATAACTTATAATCACTTCAATTTTAATTTTACTCACCTAACAAACATGCACTTAATTGAATACGTTGAGAATACTAATTGTGTACGTTAATTTATAGGTCAGGATCATTGATATCTAATGAAATTAATTGGGGACTATATTGCAACTACGATAGTGGATTAGGGATGAACAACACATTTTTTCCTAATTAGAAAGAGAGAGAATAAATATTGCTTTCTTCGAAAAAGGACATTGATGTTTGACTTGTATAACGTGTACATGTAGTCAAATGTTTATTGTGTTTTTCATTTATTTCGAGAGAAATGTTGATCATATCAGCATACATCAAGTACTATTGCAAAATTTAAATTTATTTTGCTTTTCGTTATTAAAATTATTTAAAATTTGAATTTTGCAACAAAACACACGATAAATTAGTCGTTAAAATAAAATTAATCCAAATTTTAAAACTGAATTTTGATTATATCCTAATTTATTAGAAGATATTTTTCAATATTCAGTAGTCAAAGAGACGCTTTTCAAAATTTGGTGGCCAAAATTTGACCACATCATAATCCAGTGAGCAATAAAAGACTTTTTAAAGTTTAGTTAGTAATCGAAGACGTCTTTCAAAGTTTAGTGACCAAAATTCGACCAATTCAAAGTTTAACGGCATGACAAGACACCACATATGCATTTTGTTAGTTACGTCACCAATTTCGTTAAAAGTTCAAAATGAAAATTATACTAGTAAATAACGTTTAATGTTTGAATAAGTTGGGAGGTCAAAACTCAATATCTTAAATTTCAGTTAGCAGTCAAAGACATTGACTTAAATTCAGTGACCATTGGAATAATTAACTTGCAGATTCTATGACAGTGGGGGTGGTGGAGACGCGGGTAAAGGTGGAGAGGTGTATTTCTAGGGTTGGACAACTCCCAAACCGAACCGAACCGAATCGAACCCTACGGTTCTTCTCAAATTAAATACCAGAACGGGTATTTGAATCAAGAACCGATGGGTACGGTTCGTTTCTGGTTCTAGGCCAAGACCCGAAGAACCAAATCTCCTTAATTTTTTTAATTTATTTATTTTAAATAAGCAGAATTATTTTATTTTTTCTAAATAAATTTGTTAACTAGTTAATTTAGTTCAAACCACAAAATATGATTTTTCTATTTCTAATTTTTAGTTCAAAATTAACTTAATCAAATTGACCTCAATTTTATCCAAATCTGTTACTCTACCATAGTGTTGTTTCTATTGGAAAAAATCGAATTAAAACTCTACAACATCTCTCTTAATTATTTTGAGCTCACTATCTTTCTCCTTCTGTGATTTTAATAATCAAATTTATGAAGAATTTAGCAAAGAGAGACGTAAAAGACACAAAAGATTGGACAATATTTTTTGTAAGAGCTAATATTGAATATATCTTTAATTAAATTAACATAACTTTTTATATATTAAAAAATTTAATTATAATACGGAACCGAATCGGATCGAACCGAACCGAATGGAACCGAACCTGAACGGTTCCATAATTAAATTTGGACCCGACGATTCCACTTACTAAATACCCGAAAATTTTGGATCAGTTCGTTTCTCGTTAGAACCGAACCGAATCGAACCATGTCCAGCCCAATATATTTCTGGTGTCAATGGCGTAGGTGGGGGTGGGTGAAGATGGGAGGTGTTGGATTGTAAATATGTGAACTGGGGGAGAAATTGATCAAATGATTGGAGGGGTAGTGTTTGGTGTATATAATTTTTGAATGAATAAACAAAAATTCGGATTTTTGAAACGATAAGTTAGAAAACAGAGATGGGTGTAAATTCCTCTAAATTAAAAGCCATCCCGCCTACCCCAATACAAAAATGAGCCCATGACGATTTCAATACATTTTTGGACTAACATTTCCATCTTCTTATCTACTAATTATATTTGATAATAATTCAATCTTTTTCTTAAGAGTAATTGTATTTGTGATATTGTCATTAAATTAAATGATGGTGACTATACTATCTTTTAGATTTATAAGATAACAGAAAAGAGTTTGGGTATACATTGATGTTCAAAAGTTATACCGAGACTCAAAGAGATATGATGTGTATCCAATTTCGACTTTCATAGAATTTTTTAAAGTTATTAGCTTTTGTAGAATATAATGAGATTTTATGGCCTTATATAAAATCTTATAGACTTTTATATAATTTAATTTGAATTGTATAAACTTTTACTAGAAGAAAAATAGTATATAAAACAGCTAAAACGAAACTATATTACTCATGGCAATAAAAATACTATTTTAAAGAATACAAAAATGTATAAACTAATAAAATTGATATATAAGAATTTAATTACAAATTAATCTACTTTTTCATAAAATCTTATTAGAATTTTAAATACAAATTAATCTTTCTACAATAGAAAAATAGGAGAAAAACATTGAAAAATAAGTGAGAGAGAAACACGAAAAGGAGAATGTTAGAGAAAAAAAGTAAAAATTACAAAAGAAAGAGAAAAAAGTTTGATATATTTTGTTCATAAAAAAAATTAAATAATGTTATTCGCAGTCGCCTTATGTGATTTACACATGGTAGTTGGTTATTTAATGCATTAATATTATAGTTGTTTATTAACTCATGCATCAAATAATTACTTATCATATGTATGTCACGTAGGATAACTGTCACAATGAACGATTACTAATAGCATAACTAAAAAAAATTTGATTGTTGGCAATTGTTGATCATGGCTCTGAATTCGCAGAATGAAGGAAGAGACAGAAAAAGCTGAAGACATAATTTTTTTTCCTTTTTCTTTGAAAATGTCTTTCAATGTCTTTGGTACATAAAATTAACAAAATTCTCCGTCTTTGACCCGTCCCCGAATGGTAAAAGGGATGGGGCGTGCAGAACTGGAACCAAACTTTTGAAAAAAATAAAAAATAAAAAAATCAAGTTTTGTGTAAAAATTGAAAAGAATTATTTGCTTTTGCTGGGTCATCATGGAATATTTTTAGAAAATCCTAAAAAATGGAATTGGTTCTAATGGTTTCGATTCTTAGTTCTGAGTTTAGAATCAGAACTAGAATCAACAAGTTCTAGGTTTCAAAAACTAGAACAATTTGAAAATATACTTAGAACCAAACTAAATCGAACCAATCAATTTGATTTGATCCTAATGGTTATGATTCTTTTGCCCACTTCTAGGGACAGGGATCATGGTTCCCATCCATTTCCCGAACACGTCCCAATTGTTTAATTTTATTTTTATATTTTTTAATTTAAGTTATATTTTTTAAAAAAAATAATTAATTAAAACGAGACAGCAAATGATATTTTTTTAATCCTTCTCCTGCCTGCTACCGTGTAGCTTGTAGAAAATCCTAACGGGGTAGGGATGGTAATAGCTGTCCTGATCCTTGACTTCCCATCCATGTTAGTGCATGAAGAATTTTACAAAAGTTATGTAGGGATGAATTCCACAGCCAACAAGTGCAAAATCGGGCTCAGTTTACCACAAACATCGACACCAACACCTTGAGACAACTCCAACACCACCCTATGCCGCCGCCGGTCCGGTTGCTATCAATTGGGAAGGAGAAGCCCGATAATATTCCCACAATAAGTTAACCACTAAGGTCACAGTTAAAGGGAAAGGGAGAGGCCGAGAGAGAGACACACACAAAGAAGGGAAAATTTCACTCTCTTGTGGAGGCCGAGAAAGTGAGGGGATTATATGCCAAGTATATTGTCCAAAATAGGTAAGTTATAATTAGGATTAAGTGATGGATTAACAAACAAGGCTCGACTCAAATAAGTGGGCTTCAACAATAATAATATAGCCTTCCAAGGAATGGTGCGGGAACCGTGAGCAACACTATAAAATAGGTTACTTCGAACGGTCCATAACAAAGTGGATTGTGTTGTCTCGATAATTGTGTCGATGTACTAATCAATCATTAGGCAGAGGCCGATTGATAATAAACAACCGAGGTTACATCATCGCCCGGGGAGGTCGTTTGACAACAAAATTGCCTAACAACCTCCACCTTGGTGTCAAAGGACCTGCAAAGAAAATTGTCTCCCATTAGTGACACCTCTAATAGAAAAACAATAAAATTGGAAATCATTTACCTATACCAATGTTTAGAAGTTCTTTGCAACTCCTAAACTTTGCCAGTGGCAGTACCTTCGTCCCCATATCAGATGGGTTGTAGTGTGTATGGACTTTCTCAAGTCTTACCACCTCTTGAGATACTATATCTCTAATGAAGTGGAATCTAACATCAATGTGTTTAGTGCGCTCGTGAAAAACAGGATTTTTGCATAAATGTATAGATGACTGACTATCAGAATACACTACCACATAATCATTCAGGACACATAGTTCATGAAGCAGACCTCTAAGCCATAGAGCTTCTTTAATAGCTTCAGTTGTAGCAATATATTCTGATTCTGTAGTGGATAGTGCAACAATATGTTGTAACTGTGATTTCCAACTTACACATGAATTAGATAAGGTAAACACGTAAGATGAAGTAGATTTCCTACCATCCCTATCACCCGCATAGTCAGCATCTACAAAACCTTTTTAATTTTATGCCTTCTTTATTAGCACTAAACTTTAAGCCTAC